ACTATATATATATATATATATATAAGTTTTCGTAAATTAGTGATTTTACATCCAACACTGGCATGAAATGTTGAAAATAATAACATAAAACACTAAAATAAAATAAAAACTAAACAGTTTTGTTTGTTGAGCACAAAGTTACACAATAGGCTGTGTGCGGTGTCTGCCACGAGTATCGAAACCCAGTTTTTAACGGTGGGAGTCCTCAGATTTACCGCTGAGCCATTGGGGACTGAGCAACATGGAATATAATTATGGAATACGATTTTAAATTAAAAACAGATATACATCTACCAGAATATTTATTGTATCGATAGTGAAAGGAATATCATTTATTGTCAAAAAATAACTTGGGAATTTTTTAACTGCATTTTTGAACAATATACTACACCCTCTTTTCTTCAAATCAACTGTTGAAAGTGGAGTTGTACAGTTTAACACAACACAAGTAGCGATAGAAAAACATTAATATTTGTATCTCTTTAGTAACTATTGATGCTACAAATTATAACTGCTAAAGAGATGTATATTGTGCAGTTAAGATAACAGGAAAAGTCAACCTTTGTTCGGTGGGAACAGATTTACTATAAGTGATATTTGTTTGAAAGATATATTTGATGAAACTATTAACCTTCTACCCTGAGGCAACTTTCTAAACTTCTTAAAGACTACAGATAGACTTTGAAAAATAAAACAAATATACATTATAAGAATACATAAAGAAACTCATATATCTTATGATGCATGGATTTATATGCAGGACAATCGAATGTTAAACATAATATGAAACCTGAATATATCTTCACATAAGCTCTATCAACGATAAAGGAAAAGTCGGTTTAAATGCACGGTGGCTCAGCGTCTTATATCGCTAAAATCTAGGGTTCTATCCTCGCCTTGTGCACAACACAGAAAGCCCATTGTGCAGCTTCGTGCTTAACAACAAAACGTTTTTATTTTTACATTGGTCATTGTCTGAAGCATGAATAGAAGCTTTCAAGAAAAAAAATTATATAGAAAGCCTGACATTTTTGTTTTTTTTTGCAGTTTCTTGGAACGTCTTTCAAAAAGGTAAACTGAATTACTCGTGACTTTGTAACAAGGGCTTTGACAAGCAAAAACAAGAACATAAATTTAAAAAATCCCGATATTTCTTAGGGTGATGACACTCATTATAAAGTATAATAAGTATGTGACTCATACGAAAACACTGCTGTTTAGTTAAAGATTAGCAACTTCAGCTTACTGAATCATTGTGTAACAGAGCTACTGTATGTGAACTTGGGACAAATGTCAAACGAAGTGGGCGCGGGTTTGCGTATTTAGTACATATATAACCTTAGCAGTTAGTGTTTCCTGCTAATTGTATGTGAGTTAGCTAGAATAATAAGTCTTACAATCTACGCCTATGTCAATAAATAAATTATCATTATAAATCTTAAAAAATAAGACTTATTTATCAGAAAAATGTGCTTCAGTAGTTTATTTTTAACTAGCTTCATTTAAGTTGTCCATTCCATTTTTATTTCATCATATTTCCACGCTAGAGGAGCTGAGCTCCGACTAAAGCACAGGCTCGCCTCTCTTCCATTGTGGAGTCCTGTCGTAGTACGTTCGGTAGTTCAGAATCATGTAGCGTGGCGCCGTCCTTAAAACTGAACCATCTGCCACATGGCCAGCAGCAAACACTTTTAGTTTTTACTTTATTATTATTAATTATTGT